ACTTATTTCATTAACATTAACACCTTATTCATAAAATGATTATAAATGCACTATACCACGTATAAGCTACACATGAAGAATGTATTTAAAAACTTGTATAATACATAAGTACCTTCAAATAAATCTCTACTTTAAATTAACTTGAAACAGTATACGAGAATTAAAACATCTCAAGTTAAATTACTTAAACATTTAGATTAATTTAACATATTAGAAATATTCTCAAAAATGTAATGTTTTCAAATAGTTAATACTCAATCGAAGTAACAAACACAATAATTTTAAGAACTATACAAAAAACATACTGTCTTTTATACACTTGTAAACATTCATTTCGCATTTGAACTTATCTACATCTTGACGTTCTTCGATGCGAAGAATTTTATTAACCCAACTCCGTTGTGATTCTCTTCTTTGTGGATAAAGATCATAATTATCTTTCTCTATATTATCACTGATATTTGGAACTGATTGTGTTTGGTCTTCCTTTACACTGGACATGTTAGTTCACAAAAATCTAAATTTACGTAACCGATAATAAATTATAAACAATTAAAGAAACAACATATAAATACGCGTTATGAGGAAATATAGACTGTCTTATTTGTTTGGATATACGTTTTAAAAATTTATTCACTTAAACTTATAAATATAATTCAAACAAAATAAGCGAGATACTTCTCACGTGGTCGCGGTTAAACTTAACCATAAACACACAGACGAGACATAAAATTATATAGCAGTCTCGGACAGGTCCTTGAGTAGAGATAGTGGGGAAACATTGTTTTTGTGTTACTAACGTAAGCTAGACACCTCTTTTATATTCGGTACATGCTATTCTCATTATTCAAATATTTCCACTTAAGCATTTGTCGTTGACAAGTTGTGTAAAATACTTGTAGCAGAAATGAAGTATATAGTTAATTTGATTCCTACCATATAACAAGCTTAAAATCTTGTATTATCGGTGTTGCGTTACGCCTTCGCGGTTAGGGAAATTTTAGGGAATTTTAGGTGGGTAAGGTGCCCATGGAGTACTAAGGTACTCTGTTTATGGCGCGTAAAATAAATCTTATACTTTTGGTTGTAGAAATTTAGACTTCTGTTTTATTTCTGAATTTATAAACTGGTTAAACGTTTCAGGTTCGAAATCTTTCTGATTTTTGCGTTGTAAACTTTAAACTTAAACAAATAAATTAGTAAAACACACAACACGTTGACGCATGCCCTAATGCAAGTCTGAACCTGTTTTGTTCTCTTGATCCGAACAACATTGTAATCTGGTGGCTAGTCTGATATCCCCTGAGGGGGAACATCCGATCGCAGAGGATTAAACAGTTGAATCTTTAACAATGTGCAAAATAGCTAATTGTGCGAAATTCGAGGGCCGCCTGTATTATGAAATTGCTAAAGCCAAAACAAAGAAATGCATTTAAAATACTTTATCCAATGTAATTATTTTGTACAATGTAAAAGGGATATAGAGAGCGATGTGAGCAGTATGTAGAAAAATACTGAGCTTGCGATGGACTATAATTTTGTTTAATGTATAACATTTTGTGTTTAAACATGTAAGTATAATTAATAATTGTTCATTTGCACACAGTTCTATCCACTGATAACAATTGTTAGTAGAGTATGGTTAGTGCCAGTTGAAAGAAAATTAGAAATAGAAATGAAGTTAAGAAAAATATGTGGTTTAATATAGAAATTGGTGAAACTACAATGATTTTGACAATTAGAATAGATTCATGAATCCGAGGCAGGAAAATTGAAAGAAACGGGTGAAAAGAAAAACGACAAAGTATTCAGAATAATAATTACAACTCTATCTGATAAATAGACAAGATAATTTTTAGTGGAAAGTAAGACAAAAATAGTGTGGAATCAGTTAAGAAAGTTATATGCTGGGAATGCAGAATACCGAAGGATCAACATAAATCTGGAACCAAAAAATATCAAAATGAAAAACACTGAAACATAATATAGACTTAAACGGAAATCATAGATGAAAAAGAGAAAAAACATATAGAGGTATAAAAGAAAATAATTACAAATAGAGCAATTATAATGAATGTAACATATGTTGCAGGAAGGACCATATGGCGAAAGAATGTTCTTATCATCATGAAAAGAAGATTCAGACAAATAGTTCAACGCAGGTAAGCATACATAATCAAAATGTAACTTACAGGAATAATAGAAGAGCAGGAAGTAGAAAGAAACAAAGCAACATAATAACTAACAGTAGAGAAGAGTATACATTCAGAGTTATGGAAAAGACAATCATAGAAGACCATAATAGATGGATGTTAGATTTGGGTGCCACATTATATATGACCATATATTGAAAACATAATAAACTCAATAAAACACAACATTAGAATCAACGCTGAAAAATATGATAGGAGCCTAAAATCATATGCAAAAGGAGATATAAAAGTAAATATTGTAACTCGAAAAAGGAACAAATAAAATAAAAATAAAAGATGTGCTTCATATATCAAGATTAAGAAGAAGTTTATTATCGGTGAATCAATTAAGTAGTAAATAGGAAAGTAGTAAATAGGAAATTTGAAAGTTTATTTATAAATAATAACTTAACTAAAAACGAAAGTTTCTTTTATGCTTTCTATGTTGAAAACCTGTTAATTATGTTATTTTCAACTTTATCTTCTTTACGAAGAGAAAATGATGAAATTTTTACAGTTTCAGTAAACAATATTGGTATAACGATATTCAGAAGAAAAATATTGTAAATTACTCGACAACATTATTAATTAGGTGAATGTATACGTATTTGCAGTTAGTGTTCACAATGCCAGCGAAAATTATTCATTGTCCACTGTGTAGGTTGAAAGCTACATGTTGGCTTGTTTTCAATTTCCCCGCGTTCAGGTCGGAAAAGTTTAAATTTTAATTAAGCATTGGACAACCTGGACGTGAAAATGTTGCAGCTACATGCAGCAAAATGGTTACTGATCCGAATTAATCGCGGGTGTAAAATAAGAATGATGTTATCGTATTGATCGTGCACTGATCAATTATTGCTGTTGACTGTGGAAAGCAAACTCGTTAGCCATTTGCATAATGCCTCGTCGATGAGTTTGCATAATGCAGTTTCCTGCAAAATACTGTAATTTGTCGCGCTATTCTTTGCTCGAACGTTTAGTATTACAAGTGGTCGCCACGATAAAGACTTAACTTTAGTATTGCGAATCTCGAAGAGGGCAGAGCGAACGGTAAGAACATTATAGTAAAAATATGCAAATCGCTGCTTGAAACAGCAGTTTGAAGATGGCGTTGAATAAATGAAAGGCAAGATACTCTGACGTTCCTTTCTATTGTAATATAAACGTTCTTTCTACGCATTCTTATGTAATTGTAAGAAATATAAAATGGGTCAAGTAAAATCGTTATTACTAACAACCTTGAAGAAATTGAAATTTACATTTGTTATTTAATTGTAATTTAATTTATAATTAAATAACATTTCCTTAACAAATTATGTTTCTAAAATTATAGACAAAAGGTTACGAATAAAAAAAAGCATCAAAGGAGTGAGATAATTAAGCAATGATCAAACATTCAAGTAAAATGTATATCAACGTTATAAATTGTATTTCCCTTAAATCATTCCATCGAACTTGATAAATTTTCTGTCCAATCTTTATTATATATATATATCTGTATGCGAATACGTGGTTCTGTTATTTTTCGTTTGTTCGAACAAAATTTTCAATACAAACGAAATTCTTTTAAAGCTCGTTAACTATTCATACTGTGGATTCAGCAGAATGATACGTGAAAAAGCTTGTTGTTCTCTCGCACTGTCGCGCACGGAATTTTATTGGAAAACACCGATTTTTAATTACGTTTACAAGCAAACACACGCTAAATTTTTGCCCGACGAGCGCAAATCAAGCCCGGAACGCTTAATAATTAAACACAACTCCAACACTTCAATTGCCGAAAATGGACTGGAAAAAGGGACTCCTCTGATCCCGCCATTGTGGCGGTCTGCCTTGAAACGCGCGATCCTACCCCGTTAAAATTTCATTTCCGTTCTCGAAAATTTCATTTTTCGGTGCTGGGTAGAATTTTAAATGAAACAAATATTTATTTTCCCGTTATACACCGGTTTCGTCGAAAAGCAGTTTTTCATTAATCAACATTCGCTGTTTCAAGCTTGAAAAGGAAAAATGCCATTCAACGGTGTCTAATGCGATTTTTAAAATGGATTCATAAAAATAAAGTCAACATATGTTACCTCACTAAACAATTACTCAGAAGGTATAAATTGTCGTGTTTTCAAAAGTATAAATTAAAGATAACACAAATTATATTTCATTAAATATTGCCCATCGCCCATTTTGTTTCACACAATATTTAATGAAGTTTCATTTTTCTTATATTTAATTTACTCTTTTGAAAATTTCGACAATATCTTCTGGATAATAGTTTGTTGATATTTCTAGATATTTATTCTTACATCATTATTAAAAAGAAACCTTCTTCTATAGCAAAATATTTCACGTGTGACAATCCAACGATCAATGTTTCTGTTAGAAATGTTTCAATATTTGTTGAACAATCCACTCAGAGATCCTATATGACGTATTACCCCGGCTGAAAGAGTAATAAAACTAAATTCGAGACGCGTAATAGGTTTCCGAGCATCGAAGTCACCCCTATGATCGTGAGTGCTGAAGCCAAGTCCCGGCCGGTTTCAATTTTAATCATTGTTTAGCCCGAATTAACTTAGTCAATTAAACGCGTTGTCTGTTTGCGACAGCTCGCAACCATCCGACGCTGTGAACAATATAGCTTACGTATGGTAATTCGAAATAGCATCCCCCGTGAGCACCATATGCCAGAGACATGGAATTAATTATCGCCATGGACACCCTTCTCTACTTCCCCCTCGTTTCATTCATCCCTTTCATCCCGGTGACAGGATCATACGGTATTTCTACGTTTCGTTTGTAACTCAGCACCGTTGCTGTTCCGTTCCGGTTGCTGGATGTGTTCACGGTTGTTCGCCGGCGCTATGGTTGTCCGCGGTAGAAAGTAATGTTACGATGTTTGTTTCTTTATTTCACGGTTGCAACGTGTGCGACCCGGGTTCCGGTCTTGTACAGTGGCAAAAAAATGCCGGCCACTTATTAATGGCGCGTGTCCAGAGTTAACAGTGACGTTTCAGCGAATAGGATTCATAATATTTGCTTTTACAACTTGGATGTAAACAATAATTGGAATAATTGTTTAAAAGCGTCCAACGGTATTCGTCGTCGGTCAGGTGAAAACAAATCACTTTGCGCGGCGCGATCGATAAGAACGCACAACAGAATCATCATTTAACAATTCGCAGACTGGAATGTGCGTAATTTCTGCTCGTAAACAGCTTTTGAATTTCGAACTCGCAGTCGGTGTCGGGTCTTGTATTTAAATTCAATGCAGAGCTTTGTGCATCCCGCCAATAATGTATGCGCATGAAGGATTTCATGATTTCGGACGATTAGCTGTAATTGAATTCTAGTCGAGGGAGGATGAAACTTTTAAAATATTGATCCGTAATATCCACGATAACCGCGACGGGCTATCATTTTCGAATAACGTTGCCCTTTTCACTTGGATAATAATGTCGAGTCAGCTGAAACTTTCGAAATGGATTTAATGAATTTAAACATTATTTTATGTATTTCCCTTTCAAATGACAATTCAATATTCTTTCTCTGTTACCAGTGTTCAATATTTATAACAAACATAAGCTTACAATGAACATATTAATCCTTCTTTCAGCAATTGTCTAAATATAACGCAACTTCGATCGAAAGAATTGCGAAAGAAATAAATATACGAACAAGCGAATAAGGATGTTTTCAAGTTTAAAGGATCAAAAAATTACTTTTTTCACATTTAATCATTACAGTGACTTTATATAATTTACAAAATTATCGATGACAATTGTAAACGATTTAAAAACTCACCATAGTATTATAATATCGTAACGTAGCAATTGCGGCAAACTTTTAATTTCTATCGCTACCCTTATCGTTAACTGTTTAATCATTGATTTTTATTTTCATAAACGCATCCATGAAATCCAAGTGTATACATTGATTCAAATTTATATGAGAAAAGTTTCAAAATCACTCTAAAAAGACGGATCTGGAGCTCATCCTTCAAAAGCACGTCGCCTATAAGATTAAACGACTTAGAGTTTATATTAAAAATGCACTTTTAATGTTTGCCATCCTCCGATACACCTCTGACGGATCGCTATCAGTCGAATCGATCATGTGCAGAGTCACATCCAAGTTATCCGTACACACGCATCGATTGTGCATTGCGTTTCAACGTTATACACGTCTCCTCCCTCTGAACCAGTCTCCCACGTGCTCATATTACCATTTATGGTACCCGCGTGAGCCACGTTGTCTAAACGTCGCACGCAACTCGAGGCAACAGTCTTCGGTATTAGGTAGCAACATTTGACTACACGTCACGGATACGTTCCGTTTACATTAACGACATTTCTGCCACGTTGAAATTAATTGAGATCGTTGCGAGGCATCCTGGTTAACCCCCCTCCTAGTCCTGAGAACAACTAGGTTAACGAACGGTAATCCGTGGGAGTAAACAAGAGGTGAATCTACTACTTCCGTAGAATATTGTTGTTCCGGCACTGATAAACACGAGACCGGATTCTCGGTTTGTCCATTGCTATCACTATGCGATTACTAGACTGTCGATTTTTATGGATTTTTGAGAAATTTCAAGATGCAACGTTGCACGGAATGCATACAATAAGGAAAAATATTCGAAGTATAAGAAATAAATTTTACTATTTCTAAAGTATCCCAAAACACATTCCAATATTTCGTTGAAATTTAAAGAAACGAAAATTTTCTTATATAGACTATAATTTAATTAAGGAAATAATTGTATTTTACTTAAGATGTGTTATTATCCCCAAGAAGATATTTGTATTTCACTAACGCTTTTACTATTACTTTTTTATTCCATATGCAATCATGTACATACAAAGACCAGCTACAATCGTTACTGATTAAATTAAGAGCTAGGTGTTCGACCGTTTAATAACGTTAGCCGAAGAAAACCGCTCGGAACATTTATATTACTCGGAGCGACCAGACAAATTATTCAACGTTACAAAGTAGTCGGCATTTCTGTGACGAAATTTTTATATAGAACCGTAGTATCGTCGTACCGGCGGCGCGGTTCGAATTACCGTAATAATTCATTGTTATTGCAACACTTACAATGGTCCGCAGCATGCAGTCATGCAATCATGTGGTACACTCGCAAAGATCAATTGTGCTTGCCTTCGCACCCCCATTTGTTAGCCGGACATCCCCTAAATTCGTGCGCGAGGGTCGACTTATTGGCGTAGAGCACAATATAGGGGGGTTCGCGCAATATTAATGGAAAAAGTTTCTAGGACAATATGGCAACCAAAACGACACAAACACGCGCTCAGCTCCCGGGTGGAGCCCTTTAATGGACCCGAAGCTGAGTTCGATACATCACGAACTGTACTTTACAACTAGCCGACATAATTATAATAAATTCTCCGCAAGGAGAACGGCCGTTGAATCTAACCGCGGTTCGTTCGTTAATAAACAGTGAATAAATCATTATTATTCCAATGTA